GCTGCCGTGGCCTTTGCCTCAGTAGGAAGCTGCTCTGCAGAACAAGAGGAACCATGGCGGGTGCCCAGCTTGGCCGGGGCCTGCACCGGGCCCATCACAGAAAACCAGGCAAAGGCTCGGGTCCTCTCAATCTGCTTCTGCTGCCTTGTTGAGGGAGTTAAGAGTGCGTGTGCATTTCTTAAGAGTGGTCTAGGTTTCTGACAGCCCCACTGTCAGTCTCATCGACTTTCAAACCTGCCAAGAGACCTGTCCTTCCAGTGCTGGGCCCCAGGGATGGGGTGCCTGAAACATGGCTCAGACTCCTCACTCCCCAGGAAGGGTGTAATCCCCGCCTCTTCTGTGTTCCCTTCCAGGGCACAGGTCCTGACCTGATTGCTTCTCCTCCCTTCCGGATCCCAACTCTGTTTCTTACGGCCTTTTGGATGTTTAATACTCATTCTGCCAGTCTCCAGTTTGTTTCCAGTGAGAATTGCTCCACATTTTTGATGTCTTCATGGGGGGAGGTGAGCTCCATGTCTTCCTCCTCCACCATCTTGATCTCCTCCTCTTATGGATTCATTAGTTTACTGAACAATATGCTGGTTTCTTCTGTGATAAATTACAAATCTTGGTTTCTCAGTATTCTACATAGCGATAAATACACTACAGGAATCGTTATTCTATTACTGACCTTTCTTCATTCTGTAACAAATTCAAATAATAGCATAAGATTGTAATTTTTAATAATATTCCTTGCCCTTTGAGTTATGAGCTAAATTATACAGGTTCAATAAACCCCTTCAGCTAATGATGCTCCTTTTGTAAGCTGTAATTCATGTAGGGGAAGTTTTATGTACCTTTCTTCAAGCATCCATTGGCTTGGCATAGATGCACACTACCTGATAAGCTAATTGTGCAAATTTTTCTTCTGTTCTTAGGTGCACAAAATAGCCATGGTTAGGTTTGTTGAGTAAGGTGTAAGAAGACAGGTAAAGAAGCATCACTGTTATTGGACCATGCTTTTTCTCTGTGGCAAAAATGCATTAAGGCAATCACTGAGACATTTTGGAAACAGGTACTTTTTGCTATTTTTTATGGCTTGTCTATTCCAGTGGAGTGCCAGTTCCTTTTTTGTGATGTTTTGGGTGTTAACTGATATTGTATCTAGGGTCCCTGAGGGAGTCAGTCACTTAGTCATATTTTAAACATATGCCTTTACAGTCTCCACTCTTTATATGCATTAAACAGTTTACTCATTCTTCGTAGTACACATTCTAAATACCTAACTCCAGGAAGTATTTTAACCACTTAAAGGGAATACTCTTATGATCAAACCTCATTAATTAAAATTTTAGTTCATGCCAATATGCATTGGAAATTGTCACTTGAAAACCATTTGTTTATGGCAATCCTGCCTAGTGGTAGACCTCTTTTCTAGGTTGGAACATTCTGGCCCTAAGGGTATGTTTCAGCACCACCCACCTTGGCACACCACTTATAACACCCAACCTGCCGTTTAATATCCTGGTGAGAGTATGAAGTGGGTAGATTAGACAGATGTGTGCAACAGAAAATTGAGGGTATGTTTGAGTTCCTTTAACTGTATCATAATTGGATAAAGCCACTTTTGGATAAGCCGGAAGTATGCTCTCTCTCCTTCTGCTATAGGTATGGATAAACTTAAGCTGATCATATGATTTTACTATCACAAATTCAGTGGGCCTCACTAAGCAATAGCTTCTCTTATCCAATATACCTCCAAGGCAAAAAAAGACCGAAGATCATTTACTGTCAAATATGAATCCTAATTTCTGGCAGAAGTCCTCCGTCCAGTGTTAATTTGCTTATATTTACCGTCTCTGTAATGTAATTACTTAATTGTAGATTCTGCTTACCAACTTAACTTTGGAAGGTTAACCAGGAAAGTATGTTGCTTAACATGAATCAGGTCACAGGTGCATTGTTGAGATGAGTGAGTGAAAATTCTGACTGGAAAAAAATATTCCTATGCTAGGATTTTATATGGGATTAGACTTGTTTTTTGAGAGAATTCTTGACTCTTTTCCAAAAGACTACTACTTCACCCTACTCTAACATGAAGAGGCATGAAGAGCTACCATATTTACCAGCATATAAGATATGTAACACATAGGGAAATGGGTAACTTTCTAAGAATAATTTTTTGGAAAAAAATTGTTTTCACACACAGTCTAGAAGTGCCTCTAAAAGTTGTCCTATATACAGAAAACCATGTTATTCATATAAGAACAATATATGGACATTAAAATGAGATGATAATGTCCTTCCATTTTAGATCTTTGCAAGTTGACCACAGTCGGGGCCAGGCAGATTTTGTGTTTGTATGAGATGTGAGTGCCTTGATTTTATGAAGAAGTGTAAACCCTCCTGTTCACCAGAGCATGTGAGCTGTCCAAATAAATAATGCCAAGTACCTGTGTTGAGCGAAGTTTAGGTTTTCGCCAGTGAGCAGAATCACAATGTGTCATGTTTAATCAAAAGCTTGATTAGGAGAAATAGTCACACAGGATTGCTTAAAGGAAATGTACCCCACTCGTCCCACTCAACTTTAACTGCTCTATCTTTCTAGACCACACGTGAGAGCAACTGCTTGGATCATGATCTCAACTCCTAGCTGACCAGCACTTCCTATCACATACCCTGCATCTGGGCCCCCAGAGAAAGCAGTGGAAAGGGTAAGTGTTCAAAACTTGGAATATATGTGTCAATGCTTTGAGAGTCTTTAAGTTTCTAAATTCATGACTCGAACCTCCTAGAGGAATTTCATTCCAGGCTTTAGTACTAGGAAAAATCAGTGTCCATCCTTACTTGAAGGAGAAACGATGTTACTCTTCACCGTTGGTGGGTTGGGAGCTCTAATCCCAGTCTGTGCTGGCTGACTAGACCTCGTCATGAACTTCTGGGTCCTAATTTTGCACTTGCAATCATCTTGGTAGCCAGTTCTTACTGACCCTTCATCTTATGTACTTGAAAAAAATATTTATCTTGGTATCTGGTTTATGTAAGCTCCTTCAAATACCATTAGAAAACATATGAGAATGTGAACATAAAAACTATGGCATTTATTCATTACTATATTGCAAAATAGAGTTCTATAGCTCCTCATGTATGTTTTACTCTGAACAGAATGTGTGGGGTTTTTTTTTTACACTGTTTTGGCCACAAGTTGTGCAGCAGATGTCAGGAGGCCAAGAAGCTGTGAAAGGCCCTGGCAAAGTCCTCTAACCATTCTCGCCTTAGTGGTTGGAAGGCATTCTTCCCACTTGTCTGCTGCAGCCCTGTTGTTTTTGACTTAAAGATAGACTGTGTGCATTGAGAGTGAATGTCTTTCATTCCTTTTGTCAAGCTAATTGTCAAACCTGATTTGCCTGTGACTAGATGGATGCTTTGGTCTTCCTCCAGGGCACTTTTCACCAGATAATTCTCACTAGGCATTTTATGCAAGTGCTAAATATCACTGCAGCAGTGCACTACTACCTAGAGGAGGAATGAAACAATGTGACACTCTCTCTCTTTGTGCAATAATACACTTTTATTTTCCTTTTACCTCTGCAGTCATCTTTGAGTAATTATTGTGTAAACAATAGAATGGAATGAAATTACATTAAGTTGTATGCAAATGGCTCTAGAACACCTTAACAATTATGACAAGGCAATTATAAATAACTTTTTTTTTTCCTTAGTAATATATATTTGCTTTTTAAAGTACATTAAAGAGCTGCCATATCTAGGGTTAGCTAGGAAAGAGCAAACGGTACCATCTGGGAGCCACCACCCTGAAAGTTTAGACTCCAGTTTTGAAAATCTGATGGTTTACTATTTCATAATATATAGTCAAGCAGAGGGTGATTTGGGTTGAAAGTATTTATTCTTGAAACTTAACAGCGTTTTACCTTTTAGTCATTGCACGAAACCCTTTCTATTATTTTTCACTCCATCTGGGTATTCTGCAGAATTTCAAGTAAAACACGGATTCTGGTATTTTCAAGTTTATCACCTTTGGAACGACAGATCCTATCATTTCAGGAGACATCAAATCAGAGGTGGGTACATAATTAGCAATCTAACAGAATGGCGCCATTTTATAGAGCATCCTAACCGTTCCAGTGAAGCAAAACTTACATATGCCACTTTATGTAGAGGAAATTTTAGATCTGAGACTATTCCAGAGTAAAGCAGCCTCAGGCACATTCTTAATATGAATTTTTTTTTTTTCCCACAAGGCACCTCCCTCTCCCAGGAGACAATCAGATTGTGAACTGGTTTTCAGGCAAACCAAAAGAGTAAGCATCCTAGTTCCTAATTCAGTCATTTCAAAAATCACAAGTTATAAATACTCGAAAGATAGACCTGAAATTTTTTGTTTAAATAACAAGAGTAACTGCAGGAAGCATATATAATCAAAAACTTTTTTTTTTCTCTTCCTTATAGCTAAGGTGTGTAATGCATAAATATATGAAAAATAAAATTCACAGTCAGTTTTAAAACTAGAATTCAAGTTTGGCTAATAAATCTTAATTTTATAAGTATATTAATTTCTAAATACAACATAAGAGGCAGTCTTGTCAGATGTACAATTAAAGTATTATAACAGAAAGGACAACAATGAGAGAAGAAATAGGCTTCTGATAGAAAAGATTCCTTTTGTTGCCAATAAATAGGACCACCTGAGTGTTTCAGATTCTTTTCACTTAAGGGAGATCCAAATTGGTTGCTGAGGATATTAAATAGCTTTTGAAAAACTGAGCAACAGTCGTGCAGTTGTGGCATTTGCTTGTTCTCATACTGTGGGTTGCTAGAGAATAAAGCAGAACGCAGTGTTGTTAAGTTTAAAAAAAATATCTCTCTTATCTTACGTTGAAGCCGGCCTCTTCACAATCCTCTGATTTTGCTAGGGGGTGGGAGGAAGTGGCAGGAAAGGTTGGAGGGAGGGTGTGGCGAGGGGAGGCATGACAGATCAAGGTGACATCAAGGGACAGATATCAGCTGACACTCAACTGAGCAAACCCGATCAGCTTCACTTCGTCAGGAATCTCCGACCCATCACAGCCAGAAGCCTGAAAAGGTAAAAAGAAAGCCTCAGTGCTTGTTGGTTGGTAGCGGCCTTTTGCAGAGTTGTTCGTGGAAAGGCGGATCCGTCTGCAGTCTATGGGGCCAGGGGTCCCATCTCTGCCAGCAGACATGCTAAGAATCCCTTTCTTCAGTGACTCCTGGGTGTCAACTGCTCTGGGAAATCTGGTCATCAAGCCCATTGAGGACAGAGGCGAAAGGCTTTGTTGCCCAAGAAATGGAACCGCCAGTGAGCCAGCCAGCACAGGACTGCTGGGAAGGTGCATACACGTTCTCAACAACTACCATGTAAAACGTAGTTTTAAATATGCCTTACTTTTAAAAGACTACTGTGAAAATGAGCAGAAGAGATCTAATAGGCCACACTCAAGGGTAAGTTGGTTTTTACCAAAATCATCATCTCTGTCAAACTGGTCAGGACAAAAAAGGTCACCAAGTAGTGGACTGGCTCAGGACAGACAGCTGTTGTTTAAATAGGAGTAATCTTTACAGGGAAAGGTACCGTACATTTTTTTCTATAACAGAATTTGTAAAAATTTAGAACATATTTATTGCCTTAAAATTGGCCCAGATTACAGAATGCAAAGTACTTTATCATGTCAAAATCCAAAGAAACTCTAAATCAGCCCTTGCCCATCAAAATTCTCACTGGCCCTAATCCACACCTTATTCTTCTCTTGACCTCCCTTTTCTATACGGTGGCTCAGTAGTAAAGAATCTGCCTGCAATGCAGGAAATGCAGGTTTGATCCCTGGTTGGGAAGATCTCCTGGGGAAGGAAATGGCTACCTACTCCCAGTATTCTTGCCTGGAGAATTTAATGAGCAGAGGAGCCTGGCGGGCTACAATCCATGGGGTTGCAAAGAGTCGGGCACGACTGAGGAACTAACCTAGAGTGCTCATACCACCATTCTAAATTGCCTCTACAGTACATAAATCAGAACTGGACGTTATGTAAGTACCGCAAAGTGGGGTGAGAGAAGTTTGAATGCCTGGGAATGGGTAATTAATTACCAAAGGGACATATGAACCTTTTCTTGGCTGAATGCCTGCTAAATAATTATGAAAACAACTAGTTTTCCAGGGTCAAAAGCCCTTCCCAGTCCTCACAGTGAAGCTGCTTAGCACTGTTACAAAAAACTGTACAGAAACTCAGCCCTTTGCCAACCCCAGCATTTTCCTTTAAAATAGGCAGCTAATTAGAACATATAACTTAAATATTTAAAATAATTATCCTTAACATTCAGTGTGAGCAGTCATGCTTAATAAGAAAATCCATAGCCTAAAGAGTAGGAATATTAGCTAACATTTAAATAATTTACTTTGTGCCTGTTGATGGCTCTAGTTTCAATTGACAGATATTTGGTAAAGTACAATTTTCATTGTTTGCATTGCCAGGGGCCGAAAGATCAGAAGCTCTCCTTATCACTGTTAACAAAGCAGCAGCTGAGATTTCTGGTGGGTATTTATCACACCAACCTCTTAAATCAGAGGCCTTAAATCCTCTTAAATCCTAACCTCTTTGTAGCCTGCAAAATGATCATGAGGACAATAAGCAAATGATACTGAAATCTACACAAGAGAGACCAGAAACCCTTAAGGCAGCAGTTCTCAAACTTTATCAAGAACTCCAAATGATTATGTCCATGTGGATTATATTTATTGTACTTAGAAATATTAAATATTTATATAAACAAATGTGACTGAAACTTAGAAGCTTCTGCACAGTAAAGAAAATCATAAACAAAATGAAAACACAATCTACAGAACGGGGTAAAATATTTGCAAACGATGCCACCAACAAGGGTTTACACTAGAAGCAAGGGTTTCTAGTATACAAAGAACTCTTACAACTCAATAACCAAGAAACAAACCACCCAATCAAAAAATGGGCAGAGGACCTAAATAGACCTTTCTCCAAAGAAATACAAATGGCCAATAACCCATGAAGAGATGCTCAACATCACTAACTACTAGAGAAATACAAATCTACAATGATGTCCCACCTCGTACCAGTCAGAACAGCCACAAATGCTCCAGTATGGAGAAAAGGGAGAGAGCTCCTACACTGTTGGTGGAAACATAAGTTGTTGATCCACTGTGGAAACCAGTATAGAGGTTTCTCAGAAAAGCAAAAATAGAATTACCTACCCTACAATCCAGCAATCCCATTCCCAATGCTGTAGATAAGAGTCCCAGTCTGTTATCTACAACACATAAAAAGACTCACAGACATAAAGACTTGTGGTTGCCAAAGGGAACGGAGGTGGGGGAGTGATGGATTGGGAGCTTGGGATTAGCAGATGCAAACTATTACATATAGAAAAGCAAGAATTTACTTTATAGCAGAGAGAGCTTACAATCAATATTCTATAATAAACCATAGTAGGAAAGAATGTGCGTGTGTACATATATAACTCAAATCACTTTGCTGGACAGCAGAAATTAACACATTGTAAATCAACTTCAATAAAAATATGTTTAGTAATGTTAAAGTATTGAATCTATTTTAAAACATAAAACATGTTTAGGTTAGGTTGTATTTACTGTCTTAAATAAAAGGTGTTCTTTAACATTACAGAAATAAGCCCACTGCATGCTAATAGTTTCCCAAAACAAAATTAAAAGTGGCACTGCTTCTTGCACTTTCTCAAATCTCAAATGTTTTGCTTAATAAAAATAGCCAGATTCTCACATCTGCATGTGCAGTCACTCAACTGCTGTTTTCCTTAAAGTATACTAAGAAAATACAGTCTCTCACAAATGTCTAGTTGGAAAAGGGGAGAGTATCTTAATAGCCTTCCAAATAATTGTGGACATCATTTGTTACTATGCCAAAACCTTCGAAGTGCTGTTTTCATAAAGCTTAGTTGCAATGTAAAATGCAACTGTTTTCACAACTTTTCATAACTGTTATGGTAAACACTGACCTATTTTAATGGATCTTTTACCCATGTATAATTTTTTAGCATCACTGATCTAGCAAATGTTCCAAATGTTGACATATTACACAGTAGCAATACATTATTATCTATTACCAATCTCATTGGACAAGGCTTTAAATACTGAGGGGTAGGGTTGTGTGTGTGTCGGGGGGGTGTCTGTTAAACTTACTACGGCAGATACAAGTTTTCTCAAGTCCTGTTTTTTGCTAGAAATGTGAAATTTCTTATTGACAACAAATACTGTCCATTATTTTCCTTGAAGTGTCAGGCTTACTGGGTTCATTTTGAAACAAATGTCTGCCAGATCCCTAGTCTGAAGAGCCAATGTTTGACAGCTGTTCTTCTAAGTAAAAGTGACGTTCCATGAAAAAAAAAAAAAGGCTAGTTTGGCTCACAACTCAATCTCACCAATGCTTTCCCTGGAGACAACCATCACACTTAAGTACTGAAGAAATGCTTCCCCTCTCATCACATAGACTGTTAAAAAGATGTGTTCTCAAGTGGGAATTTAAGCCAGTTGCAGTTACTTTTTAAAGTTTTATTTATTTACAGAGTAATAGAATGAGTGCTTTAAAGATGATGGCCACTACTACAGTTTGATATTTCTGCTTTGGTTTCTGCCAACATTACTAGGTTTGACCACAGTGGCTTTTACACCAATGTTAACACTATGGAAAAAGCCAAGTAACATCTTAGTATTCTTATGAACATTCAGGACCCCTTAAAAAAAGTCTCAAGGAACCCCAGAAGTTCAAGACCCACACTTAGAGAACCTCAACTTCAAAGGAAAATGTACACATTTTCAGGAGCTTACCATGGTAGTGACTGTCACCCAAGTGTCTGACTCCCGAACGTCCCCACCAGACCAGCAAGCGTGGCCCTCGCCGCGTGGAGGAGCTAAGATGCGGCTGTCCGACGTCAACTCTAAGAATTCCCTCCCCTGCTAGCCTGGGTGCGCTTTGGAACCACCAGGAGCGTTTGAAAACATACCCGTGCCCACGTGCACCCCAGAAGTTGTAACTGAACTGGTCTGGGGTGTGGCCTAGGCACTGGGATGTACTGAGCTCCCAGGTGGGCCAGTGGAGCCCGAGAACCTCTGTTCTACCCTAGCGTCCCCTTCCTTTAGGGCCATGGTTCCCAAACTTCAGCATCAGAATCACCCCGAGGGTGTGTTAACGCAGGTTCCTGTGCCTGCGGATTCCCTCCAGATTCTGGTTCCTCAGGACTGGGATGGAACCCCAGAATTCACATTTTTATAAAGGTTCCAGGTGAAGCTGACACTGTCCCTCTGAGGACCACACTTGCAGAACCATTGTTTCAGACTGAATAGGAGACAGAGCTGCTACATGGACCTTCTTGAACTGACAGTTTCCGCAGGAGGAGTAAGTTAATACTCTCAGCTACTTTTTATATCATTTGAGTCCTGGCTTTACGTGTACTTTGGGAAACATCACCTTAATCACTCAGCCTTGATAAATAAGGCTCTTTGGCCATTAATTACCAAAATGCATCTAAAACAGCTATCTGTTCAATATCACTCATTGTTAGAGAAATGTACCAGCTCACACCAGTCAGAATGTCCATCATTCAAAAGTCTACAAGTAACAAATGCTAGAGAGAGTGTGGAGAAAACGGAACTCTCCTATGCTGTTGTCATAGCCACCATGGAAAATAGCATGGAGGTCCTCAGAACACAAAAAGTAGAACTACCACATGACCCAGCAATCCCACTTCTGGGTACAAATCCACACAAAACTCTAATCCAAAAAGATATACGCACCCCTATGTTCGGAGCAGCACTATTCACAATTGCCAACACGTGGAAGCAACCTAATGTCCGCTGACAGATGAGTGGTTAAAGCAGACGTGGTGCATATACACGATGGGATACTGAGCCATAAAACAGAGTGAACTAATGCCATTTGCAGCAACATGAATGGACCTAGAGATGATCATACTAAGCGAAGTAAGTGAGAAAGACAAATACCATTCCATATCACTTATATGTGAAATCTAAAATATGACACGAACATATCTTTGATA